ATGCGGTTGTGGAAAAGGAAGCTCTGGAGGCTCTGGAGAGAACACAAGCTTCGCTCGCTCGCTCGCTACACTGCCTCTCCCGATACTCTTCATGACGCCTAGCTGTTAACTGGCACTTACCTGTTGACCGGCAAGAACAGGCCACAATTACAGGGGGTTTGTAATACTATCCTTTATCTTTCATGGATGTTGAAGTGTTTTCATAATAAGATGTCTTTAAAATACTAAGAGTTTGTGATGGGTTATTTTTTGTTTGAAATGTATTATCCTCTTTCTGGAAATGTATTTTTTTTAATTCATGTATTAAGCTTAATAAACTAGAAACGGAAGTGGGGAAATAAGAAGAAAGTGGAAACAGTTGACAGTGACTTATGAAAACTCTAGAGCAAGACCAACCTGGGTCCACATCCCAGCTGGACCACCAGGGTTTTGGAGTCTTTGGGCAATTTACTAACTCTCTGCTATGTTTCTTTTCTTCATGAAGTGTCATGAAGAATCCTGCCGCCAGGGTTGCAATAAGGCATAAAGGAGATGACGCATGTCATTCCCAAACCAGCCCACAGTAGGCACGCAACAGATGTGAACTCTTTCCTTCATGCACCAGTGGCATATAGAGGTGGGGAGTGAGTGGAGAGGGGGTGAGGTGGGGGAGAAAAAACTCCAAGGCTGAGAAGAGGAGTTTTGTGGATTGGATGAGAAATTGGCTTTGCAGCCTCTGTTGAAACAGGCTCAAAGCTAAATTGTGAAGTTGGAGTAAGTAAAGTCTGGGCCGCTTTTGCTCCTTGGCCAGTGGCCTCGGGCCCTCCCTAACTCGTGGACCTCAGAGGAGAGAGGGAGACTAACTGAGTCATACAGATAGACAAATATCAGGCTTTAAACATAAGGACTTCTAAGAAATTGGCATTTTAACTATTGAAAAGCCTTAAGTCAAAAGAACAAAATGCCAATAATTGAATTTCAGCAGGCAATGTAGAGGAGGGATTTTGTTTTTTGGGGTTTTTAGGGGAGTGGAGAGAGAAGAGGAAAGGGCTTTCTGGTATCACTGAAATCATGGCACATAAATGCCAACTTCCTTTTATTCCAGCAAAGTCAGCTGGGTGAATGACGGGAAAATGGTAAGCTCTCCCAGTGCACTGCTCGCTCTCAGGAGCTGACTCTGCTGGACAGTGGGGGATCCTGAACTGTCACAGCCCAGCAAGAAATGGAGCAGGAGCTTCAGGGAAATCTACAGGTGCAGGACACTGTGCACAGAAGGACAGTGGCACCAGGGACCTGAGGACAGGAGGAGGGAGAAAGGGAAATGGTCTAAAGGTGCCGGGTAACATAGGAGTTTAATGCATATCATCTCACTTAACCCTCACAACAACAATAGGAGGAAGATAATATTAGCTCTGTTGTACACATGGGAAATGAGGCTCAGCATAGGCCAGGTGACACGCCCAACGTCACGCAGCTAGCGATCGGCAGAGCCAGGATTCAAACCCAGGTCTACCTAGCACCAAAGTGCCACACTAGACTGTGTATCTGGAAACTAAGAGGAGAACCGGGAATTTCCCTCTATCTCCATGACGACCAAATGGACCCCAGAGAGCACAATAACTCTGGTGCGTGTGTCCTGTGTGGCCACCTGCCCCTGTGAGTGCCGGCTGCCCACAGAGCCACCCTTGTTCTGACTCAGTGCTCTTCCTGGTCCCTGTGTCTGGGGAGGCAAGAGGGCAAGGGCCAGCGCCCTAACTCTTGCTGCCGTCCTTCCTCTATAATTCTGTTTTCAGACAATTGGCTTTGACTATCCCAGCAGACCTTTCTCCCTGGGAGGCCATGTTCTGGCCTGTTCTGGCTGACGGCCCGCCTGGCCTCGCCAGCTGTCTGCAGGAAGGCCGATGTTTCATGTCCTTCCTGCCTGCTCTCTCCTCCTCCCACCTCCCAGCACTGTGGGGCCCAGGCATCTTGCCTGCTGTGCCTGCTGGACCGTTTTCCACTTCCTTCCCCAGAGCTTGGTTTGCTCTCTAGGTAAAAACACAGAGGGCTGCTTCTTACAGGCAATTGTAGGATACTGTTCTTGAGTGACTGGGGAGGAAGAGGGAGAGGCTGATGATAATAAAAGCAAGCACAGACCAAGCAGCCCAACCCAACCCAGACCCTGAGAAATGCATGAATGTGCAAATATTTCTTTGGGGTACTTTGCATGGGGCTTTGCGATAAATAGTCCACTGTCATTTATCCTGGGACATGGATTGTCTGAACCAAAAAGTGATCAGGACAAGGGGATAGAGCCATTTCCTCATCTTAGAGCTCTGGGTGCCTGAAGTTAGAGCTGAGGGGAAACCTGATAGGAGAAGGGGAAGTTCTGGGTGAAGGGGCAAACCACTGGGATGCAGGTTAGGAAGCAGAAATACCACCTAAACTTTATTTTTCTCCCCACAGGAAGTGGCAGCAGCCAAAGCAGTTTGGGAGCCTCCAGCCTCACTAGAAGATAGTGACCCCCTGGGGCCACACCCAAGTTTATACTAATGAGGTGACTTATGGTGGGCCACTAGATTGTTTCAGAATGGAGGCTGGCCATGCCAGAAAACCAACTATGTGACTAGAGGGTTGGAGCTTTGAGCCACACGATATCAGCCCAAACTTCTGACCTCTGTGGAGGGGAGGAAAGCTGGAGATTGAATTCAAACAAGAAGTTAAGGTTTCATTCTATCATGCCTACATAATGAAACCCCAGTAAACCCTCTGGACACTGAGGCTCAGGTGAGCTTCCCGGTTGGTGAACACAGCAATATGCTAGGAGGGTGATATATCCAGATTCTACAGAGACAGGACATGGGAGCTCTGTTTTAGGGATCCTCCCAGACCTTGCCCTATGGGTCTCTTCTTCTGGCTGGTTCTTATTTGCATCCTTTATAATAAAATAGTAAGTATAGTGCTTTCCTGAGTTCTGTGAGTCGTTCTAGCGAATTACCAAAACTGAGGGGGTCATGGGAATCCCCAAATTTGTCACCAGTTCTTCAAAAGTATGGGTGGCCTGGGGGACTCTGGAACATGTGGCTGGTGTCTAAAGTGAAGGGAGTCTCTGGAGAACAGTGCCCTTTGCCTGTGAAGTCTGTGCTAACTCTGGGGAGTTGGTGTCAGTTGCATTGCAGCATATTTTTGAATGAGGGGATGAATCTCCTACAATCCAGTGAGGGAGGTAAAAGCAAATTCTCTTTCCTCTCCTTGCTACTACCCTCTCTAAGAGGAAGCCAAGTGGCTTTCCTGTCAGTTATCTCTGTGGGTAAAGCAGAGACTAAAGTGCTGGATCTGGAGCTCATTCTCATATGAAGCTTGAGGATGCATTTACATGGTGCCACTGAATTGACATTTTTGGAGTCAAATCAGCTATTTTGGCTGATATAACAAGCTAGTGCTGAGGAGTGAATTGATTACTGAATAATCAAACTCATCTGGTGTCTTTAAAATGGAGATAATTTCACATAGTTCAGACACAGCCCAATTATTTTGTTGTTAAGAAAAGTGAATTGGCTTAGCCCTTTGCAATTCGATCGGTTGCTTGGCAATCAACTTGCCAATAGTTTTTGTCTCCCCATTTTTCTCTCTGATTTTAATTGTAGCATTGGAATGAAAGGGTGGTCCACCCATCTGCTGCCTTGCATTTGAGGCTTAATTTAAAAAGTCAATCCTTAGCCTGTTTTTTTTTTTTTAATTCCCAAACTAAAGGAATCCAACTATTATTTTACACCCCTTTTATTTCTTTCCTTTCACCTTGCATCCCCCCATCTTCTCCAGTATCTTTTTCTTTTCTTTTCTTCTTCTTTTATTAAAAAATACGGAAACAAAACAAAACTAAATAAAATAATGATTTAGCCAATGCTGAGAAGAATACAAAACTCTATCATCTCCTATACGTCATATTCTAACTTCACATTATTGTACATATTCAGCAATGCTTGTGTTTCGCCATGACCCCCAGATGTTTGTATTTCATGCTTGCTTGGATTTCCAAGCCTCCCTTCTCCCCATCTGTCTCCCTCCTCACCATTTTTGCACCTGTGTAAAATTTACTATATGGCATTGGTTCCAGCAACATTATATTTCGTCTTGCGTCGTTTATCAAGGCCACTTCAAAATTTTTTCTGTATTTTAAGGGCTTAGTAACAATATCCCAATTAATGGCATTATCTGAGTGATTAGAACTATTGCTTTTCTCTTTAATTGGGAGCTTTTTAACTCTTGGCTGCTTGTAGTAAAGATGGTTAGATCACATCCATGGCCTTTTCTAAGAGGTACTGTTCTACCCATAGCCCCTGCTGAAATGGCAGCCCTACATATGTCCCTATTACTTCTGTCCTTATCTGACTGGATGATACCTGTTTCAAAGGCTGCCTATCCAGGCTTATCACATGACCTGTTGTACAAAGCTGAGCTCAAACAACTGATCTCAAATGGCGTCCACTGGGCCAATCAGATCCTCACTCACAGGACTTTGAATTGGGGAAGACACAGAGACTCAGGATGTTTGCCGTGGGGGCTGAGGTTCGCTGGGTAAGGCCATAGTAGCCTTGAGCCAGGCAAAGTTAAGAGCAAGGCAAAATTGTGAGGAGGTAGAAACTAGGATTAAACAGAAGACATAATGTAGAAGAGTTGTATTCAGTCACGGGTGGTAGGAGAAGAAGCTAAAGTATACATATAGACAGCAGCAGAAACTAAGGGTTGGCCAAGTCGCTTAATAGCAGACCGTAAAGATCCACCACCCCCAAGTGCCAAGGTCCCAAGAGCTATACTGCTCTAATCTCTGTGTGGACTAATCATACTGTGGTTTCTTACAGGAGAACTGCTCTTTCATTCCCCGTCGTTTCTTGCAATAACCCTGGCCCCTCTCTTTACATGACCCAGCCATCATGGGTCATGGTTCCTTGTAACTCAAGGGCCTACATCCATTGTACCCACCTGTGCCCAGGTAGTAGAGAAACTGACAGGGAGCATTGCCAAGGGGTTATGCCACTTACTGGTTGCTGTGGTTCCACTGTGGTGCTCAGCTCACTTTTCCTCACTGTACCCCTTCAGCATGGACCAGACACTTGGTCAAGAAGCCCCTCTCCCAGGATTGGTTCTCCAGCAAGAATGCCTGAAGGATTCACGGCAAAAACAAACAAATAAAAACACTTACAGATCATACACATTGCATTCCCTTGTCTACCTGAAAGGACTTGATTGGTCTGGCTGCACCTACTTGTTGACCTCCAGGAGACCTTTCTGTTATGCATGAAATCCACCCTCTGCTCTGTGACTCCTGGTTTCTAAGTGATTCACGGGTGTGCGGTAGCAGTGGTACTGTCCCAACCCTGAGAGAAAGTGGTGACAGAAAAATCTGAGTGACACCCTGTTCTTTCTATTATTCCTCAGCCTTTGCTTTTCCTGCCAGACAGCAATGCTTTGGGTGTAATCTGAGCTATAAAATGAGAAGAAGGTAAATATTTATGAGCTCTGCCCCACTGGGCATCTTCAGGGAAAAAAGAGGTCAATATTTCACCTCCAAAGAGTCAAAAGTAAAGATCACTTGAACTGAGGGGCTGGCCTGGTGGCATAGTGGTTAAGTTCATGCGTTCCACTTCAGCAGCCCAGGGTTCGCAGGTTTAGATCCTGGGTGCAGACCTAGCACCGCGCATCAAGCCACGCTGTGGTGGCATCCCACATACAAAACAGAAGAAGATTGGCACAGATGTTAGCTCAGCGAGAATCTTCCTCAAGTAAAAAGAGGAAGATTGGCAATAGATGTTAGCTCAGGGACAATCTTCCTCACAAAAAAAACAAACAAACAATAAAGAGCGCCTGAACTGAAAGCAAAGGTGTATGTAGTCCACAGTGGGCTGGGAAGCAGCCCCAAAGTCTCTGGGCCATTCTCACTGCTTTCACATGGGACTGCCCGAAACCCTTCACCACAGGGGAGACTTGCCCAACACCTACACGTATCAAGGGATTTAGATCCCCAAGCCATGTATCATCGCATGAATAACCACCCATTGGTATACCTAGCTATTCTGTGGTCTTTCTAGAGCTAATGCCTTAGTGAATATGTTTATTCTCTGGGAGCTGGTCATCCGGGACCATTTGACCCCACAGTTCCCTCGCTCTCCTTATGCCCACATGTCATGGTTGATTCCGGGAAAATGGCCTCATGTCTATCTCTTTCACTGATGGTAGTGACTCTGCAGTTGTCCAAGTCAGGATGACTTTCTACAATCCATACAAGGCCAACTCTGGCCAGGAAGAGTAGGTTATTCAGTTAGTCTGGCATGCCGAGGTCGCAACCGTGCCCCTGAATCATCACTGAGCATATCAAGGACTCCACTCCATAACTCTCTGCAGGCCTGACTCATGTGGCAGCTTCCCTAGAGAACGCCCACGGCTCCAGGTACTGCTCACAAGCCTGTGGCCGCCTCCACGTAGATACACAAACAAAGCCAGTTGCTAGACTTGCTGAGCTCTGCTTAAAGATACAGGACCTTCTGCTCAGGGCTGCAGGCTGCTACATGCACACCTCTCTCTTCTGGATTTCTGCGTTCTGCCATGACAACGTAGTGTAGTGAACTCACCTAGGGTCTCTTTCACATTGGTAATGGAATTATAAAAACAGGGCCAGTCTTAGAAAATTCAGTGCCTGATGTGAGAGAAAAAGAGATGGAGGAGAAAAGCAAGAGAATTCTACAAAGCAGCACCTCCCAAGCCAGACCTTGGGCTTCTGGGCCCAGCCTCACAGATTCTGTTTCAGTGTGTCTGATAGGGGACCATGCTACTATCTTTTTTAAAGGCACCTCAGCTGATTCTGACAGGTTTGGGAACCATTCTTCAGGTATACACACACACACACACACACACACACACACACACACACACACAGAAATATCTAGGGTGGCGAGGATCTTGTCTTGGAAGTCAAGAGGTCTGACATTAGCTAACAAAATCATTCTGAGTAAATCACCTCTCTTCCCCAAGCCTCATCTGGAAAAGAGAGTTTGGATTAAATTCTTTCCAAGATCCTTCCAGTTACAAAGAACTTTCATACTGTGACTACTATAAGTCTCTCACTGTGCTCAGGGTTTAATGTTCCCTTCAGATAAGCAGTTGCTATTTGAAAAGAACCACACAATTGGGCCAACCCAGAAAGATATTTTTAATATCTTCCATTCACAGAGGTGACTAATATTTAGAAGTATAGATAAAGAGAGCAGGTAGTGGGAGTATAAATTAAAGAGGATGGGTCAGCTGAGGTGTAATTGAAACCTTCCCCATCAAATAAACATAATGAACCCCGCAGCAAACTGTAAACAGAGAAACTCCACAGTTGTGCATTGTGGGAGTTGCCGCAGGGAAGGGAGTCAATGCTGGGAGAAGTAGCTGACTAGCATGAAGGAGTTGGGGAAATATCAGAGTTGGGAGTAGAAACAAGATGGCGGCCTCCAGTGGAAGGAGCCAAGTCCTCTTCCCCTGCTGAGCCCAGAAGGGAGTTCAGGTTCTTTACGTAGAGGTCGGTCAAGCTAGAGGGGCAAAAATTACCCCATAATATGGATTTCAACAAAGCAGGAAGCAGGGAGCCTAAGGCCACAAATGAAAGAAGAGGTGGTATTTCAAGTGAGTGAATCTGAAAGAATTTTTTTAGGCTCCATCAGGAGCTAGTCATGGCTTTGTGAGAAAGTGAATAATTATTTCCTTGAGAGCAGATATTTCTAGTCTGGAAGCTTGAGGAAGACAGAAGTGCATGCATTTATTAAGCCTACCAAGAAGATAAGGGAGCAGAACACAAACCAAGTGTATCTCAAGTTCTTGAATTAAATAAATTCTCAACAGTTGTGAGTTGAGGCACATGGATTTTATAAACAGAAGTCATGATTTTCAATGATTGTATGCAAATTCAATAAATAATGTTTAATGGCTGTTCCATAGTATCTTCTGTAAATCAAATTTCTTCATGTAAGTTTGAGGTGCTTATTTCATATGAGATATTCCCAAAAGCACAGAAAAGGAAACAGGCCACAGGACAATATTCCATCAAAAAAACTATCACGGGGACATGTTTTTTTAAAAAGAAGTGCTACTATCAATTGTGAATTAAAACTTTTTAAGATTCCCTACATATTGAGAGGAAAATTAAAATATAGGCAAAATGCCACAAGCCTTACAAATCTCAAAGGAGACAGACCATCTCTCTCTAGGACTGGAATACTAACCTTCTCCGTGTAGTCATCACAACTCTCCATCCACCTTACGGATTTCCTCATAGATACATCACCTCCCTTTTGAACAATATCTATTTTTCCCTCATACCATAGGCATAACCTTCTCTGTTTGAAGGTTTCATAAGTCTCTGAAATTCTGAAGACGTTATCAACAGGCACTATTTCACATTTCCGAAACTATCATATCTCTCTTCTCCATTTAATGACTGATTTCTTTGAATTTCCAATATCCCACATGACCATCATCAGCTTCTCCACCCTCTTGCCATCTGACATTTGGACTCATGGAATCCATTAAGGATCCCCTCCTAATCAAATGCAATGACACTGCCAGGTTCTCATCCTTAGTCTCTCGCTGACATCCTCTATTGGCTGCATCCTTTTCTTAATGCTATTTCTTGCCTTAGCTTAAGAAACAACTTCTAGTTCTCCTCATTCATGTGCTCCCTCATTCTGTCTCTAACAGTGAACGCAAAGTTCAATGATAACAGGGGTCAGACAGGCACATAAGTGATGGAGGCAGGCCAGAGATGAACTAGAGCTAAGGGTGAGCTCAACTAAAGGAGGGTGGCCATTACCCAGCTCTGACCAATGATTGCCCTCAGGGGGAAGAAGGCCCAGTGCTGTCAGGTGTTTAGTTTTCAAGGGAATCTGGAAATCTGGATTTTTATGGGGAATCTCTTTTGTTTTAAAATGTAGAAATTAATTCAAAAAATTTTCTTACAAATACTTGTGAGCCAAACCAAGCACATCAAAGGGCTAGGATCATCCTGCAAGCTGTGTATTTGCCACCTCTGTCCCACCCTCCTTTCTCTAGTCTACCACAGTGATTACATGGGACCCTGTGTCCAAAAAGGTCATATGTGAAGTTAGGAGTAAACCAAGACCATGGAGAGTTGCCAGGTATTGAATGGAGATATGCTTTTGTTTTGTGCTAAGGAATACCATATGGAAGTGTCCTCGAGGGGGCTGCAGAGAAGAGAAGGAATTCAGGAGAGACAAATAGAAATATCCTGAATTGTGAGAGTCTTCACTGGGCTTTGTTGGCTACAGAGGAGAAAGGTGTACCAGGTTCCCAATAGTATTGCAGGTGAGATCCAAGAGAGTTCTAACCACCTGGTCATCCATCTAGCAACCAGTGGCAGGATCTCGGTGATCTCACTCTGGTGTTCCTTCGGTAACAAGGCTCAGTTATCAGACTCCATCCTCTTCAAGAACTCTTCTTCTTGGGCTCTCCTTCCCAACTAAGGGACACTTGCCCACATCTCCAATTCAATTCTGCTGGCCTAGTTAATCATTTTCTGACCTTGTTTGAACACTACATTTGTGCCAGGCTACCTCATAGGCTGCAAGCCAGGTAGAAATTTGATTCCCTGGAGTCTCTGCCCATGGGTCACATGCCCCCAACCCATAGGTCTGCTCAGTACCCTTGGCAGGGGAGATTGGGTGCTGGGTGCAGAGCGTGATCTGCCTGACACAGCTCTCTCCCCAGAAGTCGGGGCGAGGCAGGCAGCTGAGATGCAAGAGACTCCTCTCACCAGTGACTCTGGGAACAGCATTAGGAAGTTAACGACGCTTTTAGAACAACTAGTACTTGAACGGGGAAGGAGTTTCAGAGGAGACAATAAACTTAGTAATATTTATACCGTGATTTTAGAAAACAGAAAAAAGTGTTCAAATCCAGTTAGCTCAGGGAACGAGGGCATGAATTCCAACAGGGAAAGGGAACATCTAAGAAGCCTGCTGTTTTTGTTAGAACACTAAGCAACGCCCAACTCTTAGCATCTAGAGTACCAACCCATGGAGAAAATAACAAGGTCAAGAAGACGGAAATCAAACTGTCAGATTCATTGATAAAGTTAGACTGGAGAAGTGGCTCAGACCATGCCCCATATGGGCTTCATCCTGGAAATAGGCAGATCTACCCACCTCATTATAAACCACCTGGAATCACCCATGCTCACTCACCCCAACCAGCCTTCAGACAAGC